TGACTGGGTGATAAAAGCAGCGATCTGGTCGGTGACCTCCTGGTGGGACAGGGCTCAGGTGGGTTGTACAGAAAGGAACAAGCAGGAGGGCATCTCTAAGATGTTAGCAGGTCCCCGCTGCTGGGAGAAGGAGCTTGCCCTTTATGCTTGTCGTTTAACCCTGTGTGCAAAGGCTGGGTCCTCCCTCAGCATGGCACTGCAAGAACAAATGAGTGTATCTTGTGAAAAGTTTGGCACCTTACAGTACAGGATTTCTTATCTCCCCAGACGAGGCTGATGAACTGGAGCACTTGGTGACATCGCGAACAGAGTCTGTGAACATTGATCACCCTAACCACATTGTAACAGTGACCACCATCAGTGACCTGGACCTCTCAGGGGCACGTCAGCTGGGACTGACCACCCCTATGGTAAAGCCTCTTGCTGCTTCTCTGATTGTATCAGCTGTAAACATTCTTGAGGCTGGCTAGGTAGGCCTGGTGCTGCCTGAATATGCCCAAAGACATGCAGCTGGCTAGGAGCAGGGATGAAAGGGAAAAAGTCATAACTTCACATTCCTCCACAATTTATGTTGGGCCTCTAAAGAGGAGGAAATGTCCTACGTGAACAGCTCACTCCAGACCTTCTGGAATCCTGTGCTAGTCCCAGCTGACTTTGTGTAAGTGAAAGGCATCACAGGACTGAATGAGGAGAATGTAGTATTTTAAAAGCCAATACAACACAAGCAGCAAGATTTCAGACTTTGCTGCATGGGCTATCCTCAACCTCTTTACTGTGTCCTGTCCAGGAAAAAGTACTATTAGCATGAGGAGAGGTTTCTCTCTCTCTAATCCTGTGCTTGGACTGCAAATAAGGAAACCGTTCAGTTCTGGTTGTGGTAGCTTTTATTCTCAAAACATATTGTAACTCAGATCTCCTCTTTGTTTCATAGAGGTTTTCAGGCACTGGTTGACTTGATCCTTTTGATCTTCGTGACTCATGGCTGGATTTGAACTCTTTAGGGAATTGTGTTAACCTTTTACATTTCTAAGGCCATCTTCTAATCTGAAAATTCACTTAAAGAGGTTTTGATAGTAATTTAAGAAAAAAGCTGAAGCCTTCAATTCATAGTTTAGGCTTCAATCGCATGGCTGTTAAGATCATGCTGAAGTTTTTGGGTCTTAGGGTGGATTACTGTAGTTCTTCTGACTGGTTGTCCCTTTCTGAGGGTCTGCAGTAATAAACCTTGAGATTTGGACAGCAGGGAACGTGGAGCATTAAAAAGAACTTCATCCATGACTAGATGGTTCACAAAACAGGATCAAACCAAGAAGGCAGTAGAAACACCAGAATGGCAAGACTGCCTGCTATAATGTGTTTTTTCTCTTTTGCTTCCTTTTTAAGGAAAAAAGTGATGGATCAGAAGAGAACAAAGCGGAAGAGGTGGTGAACAAGCCTGTAAAAACAATGCCCAAGAAGTCCAGAAACCCCTTCCTGTCTGAAAAGTATGTATGAATTCATTGAACTGTCTGGTGCTAGACTCTGCAAGCTGATCAGTAGAATGTTGCGTTCCCAGACCAGCCCTGTGGTTGCAGGGAGGGGATGCTGTGCTGTCCGGGTGTGCGTGGGCAGGAGCCAGCAGAGGGCACTGGCAGAGCACAGGTCTGCCCAGGACACTCGCTTCTCATTGCCTTAATCCCTGGTGACAGCGGCAGCAGGAGGAGGATGTGGTGCAGAGCGGGTTTTGTCCTGAACTGTTTACCTAGTCCTTCTCCAGATATTGCAGGGTGCAGAGTTTTGTCTCTAGGATTGAAGGTCAAAAGACTCTAAAGCTTTGGCATTCTCCAGTTTTTCAGTATCCAGGATTTACAGCTGCTTTGGGCATTCAGAGAATCGCTTAACTCTGGTGGCTGACCAGCCCACTGCTCAGAAAATTCGTTCTGATTGTTGTTGCACATGTAGACTTGCAGTTTTCCTGCCCTGTCAGAATGATGCCTGCCTGGCACAGTGGAGTTCCCCTGGGGCTTGTCATGGCTAGTGTCTGCTCCTGCTGGGCCACACAGGGCTCTCCTGCTATTGCTGTGGTGTTGTCTTGCTCCTGCAGACTTCATTCCCCAAACTTTTCTCTCTTCCTGTCCTGCACAGGATCTCTTCTCTCACTGCCACGCTGCACATGCACAGCCGGAAAAAGACAAAAGGAAAGAGACTCCAACGTGGGCAAGGTCCACGGAAGAAAATCCAGAAATCCAGCACAGGGCGAACTACTAAGACTCAGCGACGGAGGCTGACAGGCAAAATAGGCCACGACCAAGATTAATGGAGAAACTAGTGCTTGAACCAGCAGTTGGAACAGTGCTCCTGCTGTGGCCTGCTGCTCTTCGGAGATCCTTCATCATGGGCAAGGGCCTTGTTTACTTGACGTTCTGACCAGCAGCGAGCCTTGTTCAGCCCTTCTCATCTCCTGAGCACTAGTCAGGGTGTCTAGACACTCTCCCCGTTTATTTCTTCAGTGATCGCCAGCTAAGCATCTGGGTGCCACAGAGTCTCTAAATTAGAAACTTCTGGGGGTCAGATTCTCCGTTTGACATAACCCTTCTGTCCTTGGGCCTCGCCTTCCAGAGCTGATACTTGGCTTTTAATAAAGGAGAGGATTGGGGGTTGAGTGCAACAAGCACGTTGTCAGGGCAATTTATGAGACTCCAAAGAGCTCTACTTCGACTCCTGCATCAGTGCCCTGACATACCTGCTGTGCAGTAAATCCTTTGTCCATAGAGACATGGTGTGGTCCTGTCTTGTGTTTCTTCTCCAGTGCAACACCTGAATGCAGGGGTACTTTTTGTTTGGTACCTTTGCCAGGTGAAAATTAGTAACTTTGTGAATAAATATGAAGTCATTTTGCCAAGAGAAAAGGATTTGTGACTTACTTGAAGCACAACAGCAACTGTGCTAATGCCAGTACCAGCTGGAAAAATGGGAGATGATTCCTGGTGCTTAAAGGATGTTGAAATCCACTGGTGCTTGGGAAGTGGAATAGCTAGGAGC